AAAAAGTGAACATCGTGTTAAAAAATTAGCCCATTGTAAGAAGTTAATAGCCCCACATTTGACCACCAAAAATTTTCTTTCCTATAAAAATTCAATAAAAAGTTATTTTAAAAACTGTCGCTAGATAATTTTTGATCATTAAACGAGAAAAGTGAATTTTTCTATCGAATTTAAGCCAATTAGTAAAACTTTATCCCATGAAAAAGTTTCGTATGCTAAACAGCAGAAAAACATATAAATAAAAAAATATAGCTAAGGCAAATTTTAATACGTTTTTGACAGCGAACTTCAAAAGAATGAATTTTACCACAAAATTTAAATCTATAATTAGCAAAACAAATATTTTGTTCTAAAATAAGAATTACGGCCAAAATAGCGTTTTGTTAAGTTTTAAAAATTCTGACATTTTTGGAAGCAAAATTTAAACTTTTACAACGCAGAATTAGTGTGTATGAGGATATCGTGAGCTTATAACGACAGCTTATCAAGCTTTTCATTAGCCAATGTGCTTAATTTTTTTACCACGATAAGAAAAATTCCCTATGTCTCAGTGGGTAAGGCACTGAACTGTCTTTGGGAAAAACTTGGGTTCGATGACAGGGCTGGTTCTTAAAGCAGCTTCAGAGCGGTTTCCATGAGACCTGCCATACCGGCCAACTCTTCCGGATTTTCCGGAAGATTTTGTCTTCATATTTAAAGTGGTAGTAAATATGTACTATTTTTTCTTTTATAAACTCAATTTTTAAATGATTTTGATCACCACTATTCTTACATGCGTTAATATTAATATGCGTTACTATCATGGCTGTCAACTTAAGTTTGCTCATATACAACGTTGCTTAAAATGCGTTGCGTTTGTTTGCTTAAAATTGAAGTTTTAATTCCATTTTAATACCACAGGGAAAAATGATTATGGAAGGGATTAAAAGTTGGCAGGTATGAGATCACCGGGGAAAAAGGCGACCGGTGTGGAATGCTGACTACATTGCCACCATCATGTCATTGGTCCACGAAATAATTAACCTCCACCCCCCCCCAGCGTATAACAGTTTAGGCTACAGCAGAAATGCCTGCTTTTGACCTGCTTACATGTATTTCGAAGCCATAACAACTTTCATAGCTGATTGAGCTTATTTTTGGACTGAATTTACGAATTTTCTTTGGAATTGTTAGCAGGTGTGAAATTAATCTTATCCGCCAAATATTTTCGTCAGCCCACCCATTAAAAAAAAGTTTCAACAACAAGTTTTAACTGATTTTTGTTCAGGAAAGCAGAGTTTTGATATTTGTCTCAATACGTTTACCGATTCATAACTGGCATCGAACAGCTAATCCATTTTTGAGTTTATGATTCTCAAAGTCCAACTCCATACCCTTGTAATTTTGAAACCATCTCAGAAGGCAGGGAAAGTCCTGGATCAAGTATTGGGATAAAACTAGCCTTTGTGAAGTATTTTCTTGAAGAAGCTAATCAGAAGCGGAAAACAAGGAAAAGAAAAACGCAAAGCATGGAGATAAAGCCTCTCACGCTAAGTCCGACGGCAAGGGAGCTCGAACTCATGATCCATCTGCCTTCGAGGATATTTTTAGTCTGTGAGCGTAGAATTATTTAAGACCAGCCTCCTCTGGGATTTCAACCTTGGGCACCCCTTCAGGACGAGAAGCCATCTGTCTAAATGAATAATCCTACCCATTGAAAGTTTCAAAAAAATGTTTCAAAAATTGTTCCACACACAATTACAAAATCTGCAAACAAACCCATATTTATCGTTAGCTCATGTTCTCCCACAAAATATTTTCGTTAGCTCATCGCTCACACTGAAATTGTGGCCCAAATAAGTTCTACCGAATTTTTGACTTAAATACCACAAGTTTTAATTTTATCTCCAAGTGTCAGACAGTTGTATGAAGTAGTTTATAGACACGTAAAAAAGTATATNGATTTTTGTTCAGGAAAGCAGAGTTTTGATATTTGTCTCAATACGTTTACCGATTCATAACTGGCATCGAACAGCTAATCCATTTTTGAGTTTATGATTCTCAAAGTCCAACTCCATACCCTTGTAATTTTGAAACCATCTCAGAAGGCAGGGAAAGTCCTGGATCAAGTATTGGGATAAAACTAGCCTTTGTGAAGTATTTTCTTGAAGAAGCTAATCAGAAGCGGAAAACAAGGAAAAGAAAAACGCAAAGCATGGAGATAAAGCCTCTCACGCTAAGTCCGACGGCAAGGGAGCTCGAACTCATGATCCATCTGCCTTCGAGGATATTTTTAGTCTGTGAGCGTAGAATTATTTAAGACCAGCCTCCTCTGGGATTTCAACCTTGGGCACCCCTTCAGGACGAGAAGCCATCTGTCTAAATGAATAATCCTACCCATTGAAAGTTTCAAAAAAATGTTTCAAAAATTGTTCCACACACAATTACAAAATCTGCAAACAAACCCATATTTATCGTTAGCTCATGTTCTCCCACAAAATATTTTCGTTAGCTCATCGCTCACACTGAAATTGTGGCCCAAATAAGTTCTACCGAATTTTTGACTTAAATACCACAAGTTTTAATTTTATCTCCAAGTGTCAGACAGTTGTATGAAGTAGTTTATAGACACGTAAAAAAGTATATTATGACTAAAACTAGTTTTTACTTTTTAACAATAGCTAATAGCTTAAATTTTGTCTCCAAACGTATTGTAGAAAAGTTTATCCTCGATAGACTATCTTCTGAAAAGAAAATTATCACTATGTCTACTTTTCCTAATTTTTTGATAGACATTCCCTTTTTTGATAGACATTCCCAGTTAAAAGCTTCTAAACTTTCCATCTGATCGTGATAAACGATATTGGTTTTTCACAAAATTTATTACATGAGATCAATAGGAAACTTAATGCATATTCCTCGATTGAAAAAACGACGAAATATTTTGGAAAACCTTTTACATTTTAATATTGTTCGCTTTTTACTTTGCTTTGGCATGTCATTCGTTGCACGCTTTGATCACCTCTGCGTTAAGTTATTTGAAAGTATTGTTTTCCCAATCTGGAGAAGAAAAAAATTGGCAAAACCATCTCATTTCTGACAATAAAAACCAATTGTTTTTATTGTCAGAATCAATCATGCCCGTTTTAAGACATCGTTAGCCTATATTAAAATATCAGATTTTCGTTAGCTCATCCACCAAACAATATTATGGCCAAAACAAATGTGAGCTAATTTTTGACCTGCAAATCACAAGTTTGAGCTTGCCCCAAAACCTTGATCCATTCTATGGAATGGTTAGTGAAAAAAAACTTCATTCAAAATAAAAATTACTGCCGAAACAGCTTTTAGTTAATTCTTAAAAAAAATCTGCCACTTTGAAACTCAGTTCGAAATTGCACCACGTAATGTTAACTCGTATGCACTAACTTTTGCACTACAGTTTCTACTGTGCACTACAGTTTCATACAGCCTGCTGACATTTTTTGACATGTTTTTGCTGCTTACAGATAATTTTTGAACTAAATTTGCAATTTTTTTATTTCGAAGTGATAGTTTATTGAGACTCCGGTAAAAAAGGTTTCTCAGCCGATTAAAAAAAATTATAAGATTAAAAAAAAGAAACTACGACAAAAACTGATCTTTAGCCAAAAAAATTCAGAAGTTTTGTCCGGAAACATTAGCCTATTGTAAGAAATCGTGAGCTCGATACTTTTCGTTAGCTATTCAATCAAACGAAAGTTATGCTGACTAAAGTATGTTTTAGCTAATTATTAATTAAAATCTGAAAATTTCAATATTGCCTTTAAGTAAATATTAAGACAGCCCACGGTAGAAAAATATTTTATAACCATCGCTGAACAGCCAACCGATGTCGGATATACGCCTACTAATGTTCAATTCCGTAATTTTGAACGCAATCCAGAAGACAAGGAAACTCCTGAATCAAGTATTGGAAGATTTTTTTGATGGAACTAACCCTCATTTGCGTTACATGAAGAGGAGAATCATGTAAACCTTCCACGGTTAGCCGGACTGCAAGGGGACCCATGATCCGTCAACCACTGAGGATATTTTACGTCAACATCGACTCAACCAGCCATTAGTGGGATTCGAATCCGGTTTACCTCATCGAAAGGCAAGCTCTCTATACTCTGAGCCACCACGATTCCGGTAGAAAAATAGTGGCCAAAACAGATTTTTGTAAACACTTGATAAATCTAAGCATTTTTTTAATTTCAAACATTAAAACGACCAACTAAGGAAATCATTTGCCCACTTAAACTGTACAACTAAACAAGATTACTGAAAGTTTATCAAAAAACTGGAGGTTTCAATTATGCCACCGTTATTCCGTACTCAGAAATCATTATTCTAACCCGCTCAAAAAATTCATTCGTCTTAATCATTACGGTTAAGACAAATATTAGCTACTTTTTAAACTGTAAACAAGTTCAAATTTGACCTCCAAACCTTAACCTATAAAAAAATCGTTATCCTGCGGGGCACCGACCGAGACTAGGTTACAACCAAAACAAGTAAAAAAAACAAAGCTGAATTTTTTCTAGCAAAACAGAAAAAAAAATCGTAACCTTCTCACCAAAAAAATATTACCAAGAAAGGTATTATTTTTGACTTAGAAAACACGATTAAAATTTTCCTTTAAACAATAGCCCCTTGTGTTTTAATACTTATTCCATCCGCTAAAAAATACAGAAATAGTTTAAAGTTTATTTTTGACCAAGAAACTACGAATTCGAATTTTCCCTGCAAAACGTTAAACTTTTATAGGAAATCGTTAAAACACCAAATTTTTTGTTGACCTATCAGACAAAAATCAAAAACTCTAAATCAAAATGATTTGAGAACTTAATCCATCTCTTTTGAGTTACACTCTTTCTTCCTGTTCTTGTGAATATTCGATTTCGTGTGCTTTGAATGCCAATATATTGTATACTGTAATACTTATTATATACTATATATTATTACATATTAAATTTAATTTCTAATTGTTTTTTTAGGCTTATTTTTGCAAGAGAGAAGAGAAAGCCCTAATGGCAACTAAAATGTGACTATTTGCTGCTAAGTTCCATGCGAGGTAACTATGGTTACTATTTTTGCAAAAAAATAACTAAAAAGAAACAATTTTCAGAAAAATAACTTTCAAAAAAGATTAATTTAAAAAAAATTATTATTACCAAACTAGAAGGTTGTGCCATAATATCTTATTAACAAATTTGTATAAAAGGATCAGATTTTAAAAAATCAATGGCTGGAAAGCAATGGATCAATTTATAAAATTTTAAATGCTCGGAAACAAATTTGAATTTGTATTAAAAGCGCAATATCAGTTTTTGAGCAATATCAAAAAGTGATAATTCAGTTTTTTAATCGCGTGTCGTAATAATATGTCAGAATCTTGTATTTAAAAAAAAAACGAAGCAGGACTAAAAAGTGATCAGTAAACAGAGTCGATTTATTAATGAATGCGCAAATTAAAGCGTCAGAATGTGCCTATTTTATAATTCGAATTTCAGGTGTCTTAATCTCATGCAAAAAATATCGCAATGTGAAAAACTTAAAAGGAAATGATCAGAAAATGACTTATAATTCACAACAGAATAGTCGCTAATTAAGCGTGATAGAATGTGATTATTTTATAACTTGGAATTCAAGTATCGTAATATGTTGAAAATATTGGAGTTTCAAAAAACATGGTCGAAAGAAAAGAGAGATTGAAACAACGTAAGCTTACGATCGAAACTTGATTTTCACACATCAATATGTGATCACTCAAATTCGAAATATGCGTTTCGTAATAATATCACATCAAAATATTGGAAATTAAACTAAATCTTGCAGAAATGGCATTTTTTCAGTTGTCAATAAAAATTTTGACAATTTGTTTAAGCGCAATTATATTTTAAGTTTTACAAATATAATTTGATATCAAAAATATGCACGCACAGCAAATGTAACTATGGATTAAAAAAGAACTAAAACATAAGCAGATTATTAACACAATATTTTTAAAATTAAAACTAAAGGAAATTTTTTTTAAAAATAATTATGCTTTTCTAACATCAAAACAATAAAATCTTCGTGATGTTATAAATTCAGTAAAGATTACAGTTTAATACAGTAAAGATTACAGTAAAGATTACAGACTATAACAAGTTTCGACAATTATGAATAAAATAGCTAAAATCAAATGATATATTTTGGTTAGTTTCTTTCCTGTGCAAAAAAAAAAGTCGATGCTCTGAATATAATCAAGTTTTACAAACATTATGTAATAACAGATAATAAAAAAATGTTCACATAAATACCTACAAAACCTTTTCAAAATTAAACGGATTTGAATTATAAACTTTTAGTCGTTCAGGGTGCAAAAAAAAAATTAATAAACGAATCATTCTGTTAACTTTTGATCTAAAGATTAGATCTTCACATTCTGTGACTCATTCCTAAAGGCCTGTTTACACGGTCCAATTTCTTGTATCCGAGAAATTGGACGGATTTCTCTGTCCAAGAAATTTGATGATTCGTTGACACTATCCAAGTTCTTGAATGTCACTGATTGGACGGGAGAAATACTTGCGCATGCGCATTGTTCATATTCAACAGTATAAAATCATACTTATATGACTTTAAAATTATTGAATAAATTCATATAAAATCATGATAACACAAATAATCTGCAACAGATAAATTTATTTGGACTAAAATATATGAAAACAGACAACAAAATGTCATAATTTGCTGCCTGCTTGTTGACGTCACAAAACCTAGGACGGTGATTGGTTAAGGGAGAAAAAACTTGGATGGAAAGTAGAACATGCTCTACTATCGTCCAAGAAGTTGGACCAAGTTCTTGGATGTTTGTTTACACGATCCAAGCTCAAAGCAAAACAAGTTTCCATCAATATCAATCAATCTCTGGCCAAGAAATTCGATCCTCTAAACAGGCCTTAAAAGTTCAAGGGGATGATATCGTATATGCGACTTCAAAAGTGCAGAGGCGATATTTTAAGTTACGAAATCATACACTATAACGTGCTTTCTCTGAATAAACATGGCATTTTTTCGATGGATTCGAATTACTGAACCACAGAATGTAAAGGTTAATCGCAATCTGATAAATAGCTCGAGAGCTTTTTAAGCGAATTGAAAACTTTTTGCTCTCAGTTATATTGACAAAAATTGTCTGAAATTAACTGTTAGTAAGTATTTATTATTTTATTTAATAATAGTCAGAAAAAATTTGAAGGTATACTTTTTTAATAGTTTTAAAAGAAGGTAATTTAACATGGAAAAAATACAAAATTTGAGTGAAATTGTTCGATTAGTTCCTGAGAAATCAAGTTTTTAATAAATTATTTTTTTTTAAAAGTAGATTTCTCAAGAATCCTAACACCATATTTGAACTATATGAATTTAAACCAACCTGCATCACAAGTCTTTTCTTAAAAATTTTTTTTTTAATTAATTAAATTTAATTAGTTTTAAAAGTTGTTTTGAAGAAAAAGTGCAATATAAATCATTGGAATATTAGGGGAAAAGAGGGCTTTTTATATCTTTATGAAAATACATTATATGAATTTGCATGATTCATAATTAAACAAGCTCTGATTTTTCTATGCATAAGATGCTTATTACTTTTTTATATTCTTAACCTTCCGTTAGTCGCGCACTTGTTTCCGACATGGTTAATCGCGTTGCACCTATGAGGTGTTTCTGATTTTTTGAAAGCCAAATGAAATTTAGTCTAGTTTAAATAGTTAATTGTTTCCAATTTAAGACTCTTTACAGAGATAAATATCAAAAAATTTATTTAGCGAAGTACCGAAGATGAATTTTTCTTGCTCCCGCGTCGGATCTCTTCCTCCATCCCAAGATAATCAACCAATTGACGCAAGAAGGTTCTGTGGTTTTTTACTCCGTAACCATTTTCTTCGTATATAACTTGACCATTTATACCTGCTACGTTGAGTAGGACAGAAAATGAGATAAAATATATATATTTAATTCATAAAAATATTATATCCATAATACTTGCGTCAATGGTCGCGCTGCACCAGAGGGGTGATTTGAGCGGTTCCAACTCTCCATCGACATGTTCTAAGGTCGGTTTTACACGGACATTTGAGTAATCCAAAGTTAGGAACATAACATTAGACTCGACCCCCGGAAAAATCTTTTGACGGCAAAGGAGGTGGAAATGCAGTAGGGATGCACCTGTGAGGTGCGCGCGACTAACGGAAGGTTAAGATAAAGATAATTATTTAATGAAAAAAAAATACTGTTATTGTCACTTTAATGATACTTTTTTTGAGAAACTTAACTGTTGCAATGGTTGGTTACAAACTACATATTATGGCCTTAATATTACATTGTTACCATATTTCTTCAATTATTACTTTCGATTATAAGAGTAGAATTTTTTTTATATAAGCCTGAGCTCCTAACAATTTGCAGTTAGGTCTGTCTTTATTTTTCCAAAAAGTGGTTTGTATTCATTGTTAAATCGCTTCATGGGTTCAAATTAATTATCGAGCGTGGCAGAGGTACCTCCTATTTTTAGTATTTCACAGTTTTGTGGAGACTATTCCCACCATTGGAGGCAAAAATATTCTGTGGAGGGATTTACGCTACAACAACAGGGGATCTATTTGAAATCTATTCAACAGATTCCGAAAATGTTTTTCCAGGAGATTTCACCCCTGATAAAATTCAAGATTTGCTAGCATCTCTTTGCTTGTGGTTGTGGAACATTAAGTAAAATAAAAATTTAGTCAGGGATTCTCTGCATTCTGTTTTTTCTTTTGAATGCTGTAGAATTTTTTATTTTAAATTCTGCCCTATCTTAAGAATTTTATTTCATATTTTTTTTAAGTAAAAAAAAAAACTCATTTGCGTTGATCGATTTGGCTCCTTTCTGAAATAGTGCGTATATGGCATTCGCCATACTTGCCACACCCTAGATACGTCACTGGAGATGGACTGAAAAGAAACCGACAAGAAGAAGAAAATCATTTTATACATGAAAATGGAATTAAACACAACACTGTCTCCCATCACAGAAACTGTTCAAATTTGCAGTCGACAAAATTAACGCACTCTGTTCAATGTTCGGCCGTCGCACATTGGTGAAAACACCGTAGTGTCAGCAGCTTCGAATATCCGAGAATTGCTTCCATGCTCTAAACTCTCAGCGCATTGTAGTGATGTATTCTTTTATTTCGCATGAATCGGGAAACTGCTTGTGACATCGTCTGCGTGCTAGATACAGGCCTTTCGCTGATATGATGCAAAATTTCGTCCGATATAAATTGCATTCTTATACACCTGCCACGTCCGTGCAACTTGAAAAAGAATTTGTTGGTTCAGTCGTTGAAATATTCTTGCATCAGGGACTGTCATGTTGGAAAACGCTCTCGGTGCCATCTTTGAGCTTCCCTTGCATTGTCGTATGTAGTTCCATGCAATGCATCTCCACCTTCTCCTCTGACTTGAGTACGTATTCTTCTGAATCCACAGAGCAAATAAAAGCAGTTACTGTGAGCAGCAATCGCTATTAGGTTCCCTCTAGCTCGTTGCTGCTTGCGTTTGGACCATGGATTGTATGGTGATTTATGGTTGTTTAGGTGCGTTCTATCATTCCCTAACATATGTTCCATGCGTTTTTGGACCTGTACATGATCAGGATTGAAGAGCATGTGGAGGGGAATTTTCTTATATCGAATCAGCGCTTTGCAAACTTATCCAATAATGAACCCAATTAACTCTTTATTACATTTTTTTTTAACTTGTGTGTTACTTTTATTATTCGAGGCAACTATTATATGCAGTGAGTGTCGCAACTTCATCCAGTGTTTGGAACATTTATCCAACATTTTTCCAGTGTTTGGAACTTCATCCAGTGTTTGGAACTTTCTTTCTTCCAAAAACGTTCCATATGCGAATCTTTGATGCGGCAAGAATTAGAATTCTTGCCGCTGTAATATATCACGATCAATGGTAGCGGATGTGATCCGTGGGTGTAATTCTACGAAATCACGTTACCTAGGGAATATCAATACAAAATCTTTGTTGTAACCCCTTAAAAAAATATCTCAGGGATTTAAATTTGGAGTTCAAACCGATTTTATTTCAAATTCCGGAAGGAATTGTAACACACCCTGCAATTCTGATGATACTATTTAGACTGCTTTTTTGGAGCTATGATACTACTAAAGTTACTATTTTTCTGATAGGGAAGAGTTCTGGCTTTAAATGAGCAGTATAATGATGTACACTATACGTCAGGTAAGAATGTCCTTTTCATGATTTGTTAGTTTTGTAATCTTCACATGTTTTGAGCAAAAATTGAGTTTTTCAGCTTTCAGTAAAGTTTTTGAAACAATTTTCAGTTCATCTGTCTAGTTGCAGTAGAAAAACTTTTATGTTGTTCTTTTTCGAAAACTATCACTTCTTTTTGTTAATATTGCTGCATGTTTCTTTTGTTGGTTTTATTCTCAGAATTGCAGATTTAAACTGAAATGGGACATCTTTAAAACTACTTCTGTAATAAAATTACATTTTGATGAACAGTGCATAAAAGAAAAAAAAACAAATCAGCCTGAATACTTTTGATTGAATGATTAGATCTTCAGGTATTCGGTCTAAATCTTAATAGTTCGAAGGTAAAAATTTAAATAAGCTAATTTTTAACACAGACAATATATGAAGTTACGAAATCAGACGCAAAAACGTACTTTCTCTGAATAAACATACTTTTTTTCCGACTTATTCTGATTTCTGACCCTCAAGATATGAGGAGTACTAGGAATTTGGAAAATATGATTCCCAAAGTTTGATCAGAGGAGTGGTTTTAAGTTTGGACCCTTTAATGTTAATTTCACTTTTTGCGCATTTCGCCATATCTCGAGAATTTTTTAAACGAATTGAAAATATTTTGTTCATAATTATAAAATTCATTTATCCGATAATTCCATGCAATAAATGACTTAATAATTATTTATTATGTTTTAGTTTCTTCTTCGGCAGGCGGAGATCGAACCCATGATCTCTTGGACGCAGGCCCAGTTCCCTACAAACAGGCTACTTGCTGTAAAGACCTCTAGGTTTCGAGAAAGTTCATAGAGATAGAGAGAGAGAGGAGAAGCAGTTCGCCAACCTGATCAAGACCACAAAAGAGGAACAAAGCTGTCTCAAGACAATTATTAGCCATTTCTAGCCGAAAGGGATCGCCTCGTGAAAGCGACACAACTGCCTCGCAACCTGCATAATACAGCAGAGAAATCTATTTTACGGATAAGTCAACTGGAGTGTAATACAGGTGGCCCGTATGCCAGTCGTCCTGAAGCCTGCATACCGTTTACCGTGAACCACAGTCTAGCATGTTTCCAAAAACACCTCTGGGGAGTGGGTTTTCTTCAGCGATGTGTTGAGTTTAAATCTGGACACCGATTTGAGACGTATTCTCATCTAGAGAGATCCCGGGACTCGATATTCGTCCTTTAACATTGTCGAAAAGGACCACTATGATCGAGGTGGTCTGATGGTCTGGGCAGGCATCATGGTAGGCAAACATACCGGTCTGTTCGATTGAGGTACTCTGACAGGTCAGTGATACAGGGACACAATCCTTGCACCCTATGTGACACTTTTTCGCGGAACATATGGACCAAATTTCAACCTCTTGTTCGATAACGCTACCCCATACAGGGCTCAGTTCGGGATAATTACCTCTAATCGGGTAATATTCAACTACTAAAGTGGCATGCGATGTCCCCTGAACTGAATCCCATCGAACAGGTATGAAAAATCCATGGATGCTTCATTGTAGCTTAAAGACCAACTTCAATGACCATCGGTGAGCTCAAGGTTAACTTGGGGCAAGAGCGGGTGTGGTTGCCATAGTCATTGATATCTACCCTGATAAACAGTATGAAACACCGATGCGAGAGTTGTGTAGCTGTTTGGGGCGATTATACACCCTATTAGAAATATATGAAAAATTACTCACATTCTTTGATACTTAATTCGTTTACATCCATCTTTCTTGATTTCTGTATTCGATTAACAAAACAATAATGAGGATAAACAAATTAGGGAACGGTTCGATTAAAAGAAAAATCATTTTGTGAAGAGTCCTTTTTTAAGTTGAAATATTTTGTGAAGGGTCCGTTAACGGACCCAAATTTCTTCTAAACAGATCCCTGTGGTCTGAACAAAAAGCGACCAGCTTTGTTCTATCTGGCTCAAATCCTAACAGATCCCTGTGGTTTGAACAGAAAGCGCACCAGCTTTGTTTTATCTGGCTCAAATCCGGCAACCCTGTACGTTAGCTCACTTGCTAAAATGTAGTTATGGCTGAAATTGGTTTTACAAATTTAACGATCTAATAAACCTACCGTTAAAAACAAGTGTTAACTAATCTTTTATTTAGAATTTTAGAAAGATAAGTAGAACCGCAACACAGTCGAGGGGGTTATACAGAGATTATAAGTTAAAATATGCAACAAATATTTGATGTAACTGCATAAATAGTAAGATGAAGTAAATCTTAGAATTTTAGAAAACACAATATTTAATTTTTATTCAAAATGTTAGCTGCTCGTAGAAATTTCGTTTCTCTACTTTAATCCTTCAAAAGTTTTCATTCGGAAATCCAATAAAAAGATAATACAACGATATGTTTAAAACAAAAAGTTGAACGAATATTAGCCCACTCGAAATGATAATCTATTAAAATTGATAAACCATTGCTTGATAGCTCGCTCCTCTGATAGCCCATTCACCATGAAACAGAAGCTTATTAAAAGAAATAGTTAGCCCCTTAACGTTTTTTCTGACCAAGATGTCATGAAAGTATGACGGTGACAAATATTTATCGGATTTTAAACCGCATGTTTAAATTTTTGCATCGAAGTTTAAGCCTATTGCAGGAAACAGCTTGCGTTAGTTTAGGGATAGGTGTAAATTCGCCTTTTCATTTTAAAAATCATTTGCAAGGAAATGAATTTCGCAATAAAAAATGAATCAAGTTCATNCAACCCTGTACGTTAGCTCACTTGCTAAAATGTAGTTATGGCTGAAATTGGTTTTACAAATTTAGTGATCTATAAACCTACCGTTAAAAAAAGCAGTAACAAGTTTTAATTAATCTTTTATTTAGAATTTTAGAAAGATAAGTAAAACCGCAACACACTCGAGGGGGTTATACAGAGATTATAAGTTAAAATATGCAACAAATATTTGATGTAACTGCATAAATAGTAAGATGAAGTAAATCTTAGAATTTTAGAAAACACAATATTTAATTTTTATTCAAAATGTTAGCTGCTCGTAGAAATTTTGTTTCTCTACTTTAGTCCTTCAAAAGTTTTCATTCGGAAATTCAATAAAAAGATAATACAAAGATATGTTTAAAACAAAAAGTTGAACGAATATTAGCCCACTCGAAATGATAATCCATTAAAATTGATAAACCATTGCTTGATACTGATAGCCCATTCACCATGAAACAGAAGCTTATTAAAAGAAATTGTTAGCCCCTTAACGTTTTTTCTGGCTAAGATGTCATAAAAATATGACGGTGACAAATATTTATCGGATTTTAAACCGCATGTTTAAATTTTTGCGTCGAAGTTTAAGCCCATTGCAGGAAACAGCTTGCGTTAGTTTAGGTATAGGTGTAAATTCGCCTTTTCATTTTAAAAATCATTTGCAAGGAAATGAATTTCGCAATAAAAAATGAATCAAGTTCATTACCAAAGTTTAAAAAAGTGAACATCGTATTTAAAAATTAGCTCATTGTAAGAAATTATTAGCCCTACATTTGACCACCAAAAATTTTCTTTCCAATAAAAAAGTTATTTCAAAAACAATCTCTAGATATTTTTTGATCATTAAACGAGAAAATTGAATTTTTCTATCGAACTTAAGCCAATTAGTAAAATTTTATCCCGTGAAAAAGTTTCGTATGCTAAACAGCAAAAAAAAAATGTAAATAAATTTAAAAAAATATAGCTGAGGCAAATTTGTTTTTGACAGAGAACTTCAAAAGAATGATTTTCACAGACACATTTCAAAGCCAATTTTTAAAAAAAAATTCTTGCAATAATTTTACATGCACAAATTGTAACATTGAAAAATTTACACCGCTGACACTTTGTTTAAATGTCAACAACTTCTTCGATGGCTTGTTGTAAATTAAAAGTAGAAATCGGTTAATAGTTTTTTAGATGTTCATCAGAAGAACTGTCTTTGGGAAGAACTGAGGTTCGATGACCTTCTTGTAGCCATACAGCTTGAGATCGATTTCAATGAGATCGGCTACTACATCACCATCATGCCATTGCGCAGTGGACCAGCATCCAAGGTTTCGTGACCAAAATTTGTATTTCGATAAACTTTGTTTCAAAATTTGGGGGGTTTATTTAGGAGTTTTTATCTGCAGGTAAATTGAATTCATAATTGAAATTTTGAAATACACTATAAATACCCAAAAAACAAAATTGCGGCTGAAATATGGCGACAAAAATAAGAAAAGTAATATAGTACGTTTAAATAATTAAATATAACAATGAAAATATAATAATTTTCGTCATTTTATATTAAAAATGAAAATCAAATTATATTTCAGAAGTAATATTACAAAATAACGCGAATTAATTGAAAAATAACGCGAAAACAGAAAAAAAAAATTACTTTTTGTTTTTCGGTATATTTAGTTCACCTTTGCAATGCGGGCCAAAAGGGAAGGNGAAGAAAAAAAATATTTTTGTTTTTTGGTATATTTAGTTCACCTGTGCAATACGGGCCAAATGGGCAGGTTTTATCGAAAGAAGAAACATCAAAGAAGACAACAAAAAAAAATTAGCTAATTACCTGGTAAAACTTTTTGGAACGAAGTTTTGAATGTCATTCAAACATTGTAAAATGTCAAATGATAAGATACAAACTATAAGTTTGTCAAGAGTATTAACTAATCCAACAAATTGAAAAGTTGTACTATAATTTCAGACTAATTATTCTGATAAAAATGTAACAGTAAGGTGAAATTCCCATACATGTTTCTGAAATAAAAATTTAAAAAACAATTTTAACATATTTCTCATTACATTTTACTCTCGTCGGTTCAAAAAGTAAATTATAATGTTTGGAATGATAATGATAAATAATGTTTTAATTATGAATACTTAATTTGGGCTATATTAAAACTGCCTACACTTATTTTAGTTGAAAATTTAACTTTTAACTTTTGGCCAAAGATGATAGTCTTCTGGCCCACAGTGCATTGGTCCATGAAATAATTAATCATTAACCTCCATTACCCCCTCAGTCTATAACAGTTTAGGCTATAGCAGGAATGCTTGCTTTTAACATGCTTGCATGTATTTCGAAGCCATAACAACTTTCATAGCTGATTAAGTTTATTTTTGGACTGAATTTAGGAATTTTGTTTGGAACTGTTAGCACGTGTGAAATTAATCTTATATTGATCCGCCAAATACTTTCGCCAGCCCAGCCATTAAAAAAAAGAGCTTCAACAACAAGTTTGAACTGATTTTTGGTCAGGAAAGAATAGTTCTGATCTTTGTCTCATCTCAATACGTTTACCAATTCATAGCTAGCGTCGAACAGCCAATCCACTCCTGAGTTCATGACTCTCAATGTCCAACTCCATAGCCTTGTTATTTTGAAACCATCTCAGAAGACAGGGAAACTCCTGGATCAAGTATTGGAATAAAACTAGCCTTCGTGAAGGATTTTTTGAAGAAACAAATCAGAAGTGGAAAACAAGGTAAGGAAAAGCGCGAAACATGGAGAGAAAAACCACGAAAGCCTCTCCCATTAAGTCCGACTGCAAGGGAGTTCGAACTCATGATCCATCTGCCATCGAGGGTATTTTTCGTCGCCAGTGTTGTCTGTGAGAGCCAGGAGTAGAATTATTTAAGACCAGCCTCCTCTGGGATTTCAACCTAGGGCACCCCTTTAGGACGAGAAGCTCTCTGTCTCCCGCGACTCTTATTGTCTAAATAAATAATCCTACCCATTGTAGGTACCAAAAAAAATTTTTCGAAAATTGTTCCACTCACAATTTCAAAATCTGCGAACAAACGTAATCCATATTAATCGTTAACTTACGTTCTCCCTCAAAATATTTTCGTTAGCTCATCGCTCACCCTAAAATTGCGGCCAAAATAAGTTCTACCGAATTTTTTACTTAAATACCACAAGTTTTAATTTTATCACCAAGCTTCAGACTGTTGTGTGAAAAAGTTTTTCCACGTGCCAAAAAATAGAGTATGACTAAAACCAGTTTTAACTTTTTAACAATAACTTAAAGTTTAAATTTTGTCTCCTATAGTAGACCTATTGTAGAAAAGTTTATCCTGTGATAGACAACCTTTTGAAAAGAAAATTATCATCATGGCTACTTTTTCCTAATTTTTTATCGATAGTCACTACATTTAAATACAATTACAATTGTTAAAACTGAAACTGTAGTCTAACTAATTCATTTGCTGAGCTCACTTGATATTTTCGTTTGCCAAACCGTCAAAAAAGAAATCGAATAGAAACGTTAAACTTTTGTAGAAAATCGTTAACCAACCAAATTTTTTGTAAGCCTATCAGACAAAAATCAAAAATGTATTGAGAATTTTATCCATCTCTTTTGAGTTTCCTGTGATTGAGTTGATTTCCGAACTTGTGTGCTTTAAAGTACTTATTTTATATGTCGCGGACGCCGTGCAGCGCCATCTGTAGTAAAGTAAACTCCCTTCAAACTGTCACTCTCGAAACAGCAACGGGGAGACAGCTCTGGAAGATGTTCTAGCTATAATTAATTATTTTGTATTGTCTTGAAGTGTTTTCTTAATTATTAAGCTTTAAATGTAACCCCGTCCTTAGCATATATTTTAATGCTTATTATATACTATATATTTTAATGCTTATTATATACTAACTATACCTACAATTTTAACAAAAAATAGCTAAATAGTTACAATTAACAAAAAAAAGAAAACTTTAAAAAAAAGATTAATTTAAGGAAATTATTATTGCCAAACTAGTAAGTTGCGTCATAATGTATAATAAACATATTTGTATAAAATATCAGATTTTAAGAAAATCATATGAAATAACTGAAAAGCAAAGGATAAATTTATTAAAAAAAAGGTATAAAAAAAAAGTTGAATTTGCATTAAAAGCGTCGGGCATCAAAAAGTCATAATTCACAAAAGTGATAATTCGTGTCGAAATATCAGAATCTTATATTAAAAGAAAACCGAAACAGAAATAGACAATGATCAGTAAACGACGTCGATTTATTAGTGAATGCATCAGAATGTGCTTACTTTGTAATTTGAATTTCAGCAACTTAATCTCTTACAAAAAAATATCGGAATGTGAGAAACTAAAGAGGAAATGATTAAAAAACGACATGGATCCACGATAAAATAGTTGCTAAATTAAGCGTGTTAGAATGTGATTATTTTATAGCTCGGAACTCGAATATCGTAATATGTTGAAAATGATGTCAGTGACATGAGTGTCAGAAAACATAAGAGATTGAAACAACTTAGTTTTACGTTCGAAACTTGATTTTCTCACGTTTAAATATGATGCACAATTTCGTCCGTTACAAATGGCATTCTTACACACCTGCCACGTCCGGTATCTTGCGTGCAACTTGAAAAAGAACCCCTGTCGCATAGTTGTACGTTCATTCGTTGAAATATTCTTGCATCGGGGGGACATGTTGGAAAACGATATCCGTGCAATCTTTGGAACTTCTCTTGCATTGTTGTACGTAGTTCCGTGCATGCAATGCATCTCCACCTTTTCCTGATTTGAGTAACGCATCCATCTGATCGGAGATCCACAGAGCAAATTAAAACAATTACTGTAAACAGCCTTTTTATGGCGGTCGCTGGGAGGCTCCCTCTAGCTCGCTGCGGCTTGCGCACGGATCATGGATTGTATGGTGATTTATGCTTACTAACATGTGTACTATGCATTTTTGGAACTGTAGAAGAGCACATGACATAAAGAGCATGTAGTGCGGAACTTTCTTATACCGAATTCAGGCAGGTCAGCGTTTTGTAAAGTTATCCAATAATGAACCCTATTAACTGTTTATTATGTAATTTTTTCCACATGTGTCTTACTTTTATTATTCGGGGCAACAATTGCATGCTGGGAGTGTCACAATTTCATCCAGTGTTTGAAAGATTTATAACAAACAAAATACTATCAATGCATCTAAAAATTTTACTTTCACTTGATAAAGAAACATTTCTTTCTCTCCAAAAACGTTCAGTATGTGAATCTTTGGTGATGTGGCCGAATTAGAATTCTTGCCACGCTCGCTGCAATATATCACGATCAATGGTAGCGGATGTGGTCCATGATCGTAATTCTACGAAATCACGTTACTTAGGGGGTATCAATACAGAATCTTTGAAGTAACCCCATAAAAAATATCTCAGGGATTTAAATTTGGAGATCAAACCAATTTCATTTCCAATTCCGGGGGGAATAGTAACACAACCTTCAATTCTGATTACATTATTTAGATTGCTTTTTTGGAGCTATGGTTCTACTAAAGTAACTATTTTTCTGATAGGGAAGAGTTGTGGCGTTAAATGTGCTGTATAATGACGTACACTATATGTCAGGTAAGAATATACTTTTCATGATTTATCAGTTTTGTAATCTTCACATGTTTTGACCAAAAATTAAGTTTTCCAACTTTCACTTCTCAGTCAAGTTTCAGGCCCCGCAGTGGACTGATCGTTAAGACACGTTTCCCAACAGATCACCGTAGTCAAGCATCACTGACTGTAGTTAGTGTGCGGGTGGGTGACCACTCACGGTGTCGGATCACGCGGATGGGATCACTCTGCGTAGGGACCGAGGGTGTGCGGTATGGGTCCCAGTGCCCTACCAACAGGCTACTTGTTGTAAGGACCTCTAGGTTTCGACAAAGTTCACAGAGAGAGAGGGGGGGAGAGAAGCAGCAGTTCGTCAGCCTGATCAAGGCAACAAAAGGGCAACAACGCTGTCTCGTGACCATTATTAGCCAGTTCTAGCCAAAAGGGATAGCCTGTGAAAGCCTCGCAACCTGCGTAATGCAGCAGAAATTTATTATTTTACGGATAACAGTCGACTAGATGCTTAATACAGGTGCCCCGTATGCCAGGCGTCCTGAACCCAGCGTCCCGTTTACAGTGAACCACAAAAAACCCGTGTAGCATGGTTCCGGAATCACCTCTGTCTTCGACAAAGGATGATTGGGAGAGGGTTTTCTTCAGCGATGTGCCGAGATTCAGCCTGGATACCGACTCGAGACGCATTCTCATCTAGAGAGATCAGGGGTGTCGATATGGATCCTTTAACATTGTCAAAAAGTACCACTATGATCGAGGTGGTCGGATGGTCTGGGCGGGCGTCATGTTAGGCAAGCATACCGATCTTAATGTGTACGATTGAGGTACTCTGACAGGTCAGCGATACAGGAACGCAATCCTTGCACCTTATGGGACACCTTTTCTCTGACCATATGGATCAAATTTCAACCTCTTGTTCGATAACGCTGCCCCATCCATGGCTCAGTTCGGGATAATTAACTCTAATCTGGTAATATTCAACACCTAAGGTGGCATGCGATGTCCCCAGAACTGAATCCCATCGAACAGGCATGAAACATCCATGGATGCTTCATTGCAGGTTAAAGACCAACTCCAATGACCATCGGTGAGCCTAAGGTTACCTTGGTGCAAGAGTGGATGTGATTGCCATAGTTATTGATATCTACCCTGATAAACAGTATGAAACACCGATGCGAGATTTGTGTAGCTGTTTGGGCGATTATTAGATATGTTTTTCTCTGCCAGGATATCAGTCAGCTTCTGCGCTGGACAAGTGACCAGCTTTCTATAAATTTAGGACACAGAGTGTACCCATCTTTTCCTCATATATTTTGACTAGGTTTTGCTTTGTTTGTTTTGTCAGTTTTTTAATGCAAAAAAAACTATTTTTCTTACCAATTGCTTTAACTAATGTATATGGCAAAATATAAAATTTGAACGAAATGGGTCGAATGTTTCCTGAGAAATAGAAATCTATTTCCAAAGAACTATTCAGGGAAGAAGGCTAACTTCCATAGACATAATGTAAACCGCTTTCCCAAAAGTAGGCACGAGACCTGTGTAAAAGGGGAAAGGCAGCATTTGGGGGCTCAGCCGTTGAAGATCTTCTTGAAACTGATTTTCGGCCTATTCTTCCATTGCTGAGACTGGGATTAAGAGGAATGCTCTCGATTCGCTTTAAAAGTTCACGAGATACAACGAAATAAGCAAAGAGTAAAATCAGCATAAATGGGTCCAAAATTTCGACCGCAAAGAATTTGAACTCATCGAAAAAGATATCTGTTTATTCCAAAATTGTAAGTTTTTGTGTCCGATTCAATAATTTAAAATATCGCTTACATGCATATTTTGGGTCAGGCCCTCAATCCATTGAGTCCTATAGATCAGTGTTCCCCAACCCCCAGTCCATGGATCAAATGGTACTGGGCCGCCCATTTCATTGAAACTGAATTTAAATTCATAGGTTTATACACCAAATTAAAAATATCTGTGTTCCATTAAAATTTTATTTATTTAAAAAAAGGGGCCCCCGAAAGTAGTGATATAAATTTTTTTAATGTTTGTAATGTATCATTGTCTCATCGCAAAGAAAAAAGCTCAGGGTTCTCATTGATTTAACGTTCTAGTAAGTTAAAATGTTAAATCACTTTATATTTATTTTTTGGTGTAACTGTATCTTATTTTGAGAGCATGATTAAATATAATGAAATTAAAATTATTAAATCAAAATAATCTAAAATATAAACAATCAATGCCCCCCCCCAGAGGGCCGCTGTAAAATTATCAAACGTTGACAGGTTCGCGGTGATAAAAAGGTTGGGGAACGCAGCTATGGATCAATAGCTTGAATCCAATAGATCAAGATTTATTTAGAGTTATTACTTACATATTTCGCGTTCCCTAACGTTGAAAAACTTTATACCGATGACTGTTTTAATTTTCACCAATTCTGCTATGGATAACTGTGAATCAAAAGATAAAGGTTTTTGAAATGTTTATCAATCAGCAATGAACGATATGCATTTTTAATAATGTTTATTAGCAATAGGTAAGTGACAAATAAATATTCATAAACAGTAATTACAAAGAAAATATTTATAATAAACATTTTAAAAAAATATGTCTCATTTCACGACATTATTCAACGGTGTCTATAGCAAGCTGAATAAAAATATAAAACCGAGCAAAAAGCTGCCAAACATGAAACACTACTGTTATGGCTGAATATACAAATTTATTTTCTGCTTGCAAAAATGTAAAGCCTAATTGCTTTGCATGTTAATTTTGTTTCACATATTATCATGGCAAAATGGGTAATATAATCATTGAAAGAAACTCTGAAAAAAAGTATAAAGTCGATACTAATTACGTCAGGTAAGAAACATGCTAGAAAGTGGTTTGCTCCAGTACAAGTAGATAATCAGAGTTGTATAAAAGCAAATTTTGGTAGCTTGCACGAACAATACAATGCGAAGGGGAACTCTTTTAACGAGGGGCAAACGAGATAGGATTTTAGGTTTTAAAGAAATTGGCTTGAGTGGTTCTCAAATTGGCTGAAAAATAGGAAGGGTCTAAGGCTACAATGAATAGTTACCTCAGAAATCCTGAAAGCTATGGCCGTAAACAGCGTACTGGAAGGTAAGAAAAATTAAACTGGAAGCTTGCTTGCCACGGAAAGATTTCCTCTGGACAATAAATAATGAAATAAAATTACCACGCAGCAGCCGCACGGTTAGAAATTTTTTAAGTAATAATCCGATCATTCAATTTATAAATATTAAAAAAAAAAAAAAACTCCGCTTATTAAAAGACACAAAAATGTTCGTTTAGTATTTACAAAGAAACACAGCACGAATTGGAGTGATGTGGACGTTTAATTTGGATGAATTAGATGGCTGACGAAAATTATATTTATACGAACCAAAATGAATTCCATTATGTATCAGGATACATTGGGATATAATTTATTTCCTGTTGCTCCTCTTATAACATCCGAAGACTGAACCTTATAACAAGACAATGTTCATATTCAACTAAACACTGGATGAAAGCAAATGAGACTAAATCCCGCGTCCCTAACCATTTTTTTTAATTGCAAAATATCTATATATTTTTTATTTCAGTAATAAATGCAAGGAACTAAAACAAAACATAGTACACAAGTTTTAAGTTGAAATTTTTTTAGTGTTTAAAACACATTTAATCTACCATCAGTTTACTATCCTCAGTTATCTCGGGCAAATGAAAAAAAAACTTGTATATATTTTAAAGAAGGGACAACGCAGTGATACTTTCTAAACGCCAGTGAAGTGACATGTTTTCTATGTAAATTCAGCAACCATCGTATGTACAATCGTACAAAAGATGTGTGCAGTTCCACACTCCAACAGCAAAACTTCCAACAAAACTTGTCTAACTTCCAAACCAATCACAGTAGATTATAGTTTTCTTGGGGCCGAGTTAAAACGGGATAAAACAAAACGCACTGACAAATTCTACTACTCCCGAGTTTTCTCGGGATAATCATTATATGCAATATATACATACCCGAGTTAACTCGGGATGATCAGGGAAGCGGTTAAGTGGCCATCACGTAGCCCAGATCTGAATCCGGTAGAAAATCTTTTGACGATATGAGTAAGACACTTTTACAGATCTGATCGACAATTCAAGAACAACTCGGATTCGATTTATACAATCAAGATGTTTGGAAAAAAATATTGATATCAAAATTTTACGAACGCTATCTGGGTCCATGAATGTGAGATTGGAAAATGTAATTGATTACAAAGGGATCTCACGTTGGTTACTGATGTAACAATTGTACCGACTTTATACTTTTTTCCAATTTACTTTGTTGAAATCTTAAAATGACAAATTAATGTATTTTGCTATTAATTTAATTTTGCTTTTGATTTTTTTATGCCGTAATCTATGACTACGTTATAAAATAAAATGATAGAAGTACTACTTTATACGTGCTACATTATAAGTACTACTTTATTCATACGTTTCATCATTTTCATCAGTGACGTTATACTCAGAATTACTAAGCAAGCAATTTGTCTCACGTATTGTCCATCCCNCCCCCCCCCCCTTCCCACTGGGTGGCAAGCACTTTATCCACTGAGACACTGCCTCGCTCATAATCGAATTGAATGAGCTTTCCTATTGTAAGTAGAAAACGTGCCAAAAAAAAGTTGTGGCAAAAACGAATTGTGAAGATGATAAACATAATTTTGAAAACGTAGCTCCCGTTCACTCACAAAAAAGTATCGTTAGATAATCACCTAAACAAGAGTTAAGGCAAAAATAAGTTTAGTTCATTTTTGACCTGGATAACAGAAGCTAGAATTTCGCCTCCAAGCGTTAGTCCGTTGCCCTATTGTAACATTTGCCCTATTGTAGAAGTTATATACCTACAATAGGCAACCTGACCCAAAAAAATTATATTCAAAATAACTTTTTCTTAATTTTTAATAAATCTAAGCAATTTTCAAACAGTTTCAGATATTTAATCCGATTTGTTAGTCTAATAATAAAAAATTTTAGCTCACTTTGCCATTTCCTCAGCTGGATCGCCGAAAAAAGCTACGACCAAAACATAACTTCGAGAATTTTTAACTATAAAACCAAAAGTATGAATTTCACCGCCATTTGTTAACCCATGCTGGGAAATTAAAAACCCATCAAAAATGTTAGTTAGCTAACCCTCTAAAAAATTTCGTGGTTAGGACAAACTTTAGCCCATTTTTGACCTACAAACTAAAATTTTTAATTTGGTTCCAAGCATTAATGTGTAGTACGATACCGTTAGCACATATGCAAGAATGAATTTTGTCTTGAAACGTTTTAGTTGATATGATCTAGTGATCACTATTTCGCCTCAAACTGTCATCCCCACAACCAACAACTTTTATTATTTTAACCACAAATAAAAAGCAATGGATAAAACAAGCCTTGCATAATTTTTGACAATAAAACCACAAGTTTTAATTTAGCCTTCAAATGATAGAGAGAATAGTTTGAACAACAAAGTCAGTCGTTGCTCATTTTCAGATATTACAGTAAGTTGTTAGAGAGAAATGTTGTTTTGACAGTAGTTATAATTTTTATAATTGTAATAACATGCTATGAAAAGACATTAAAAATGTACTTCTTGTTTCAGGATCTGTAGAGTCAATCTGTTGAATAGTTTGATACGTTGCTCACACAGATATGAATTCAATAAGAAGTGATGAGTGAAAAAAATGTCATATGATGCCAAATTAATTATTTAATACATGTGATTACGACGAATTTCAAACATTATATGTAGCCGCTTCGTAAACTGGCTAATGCAGTTTGTGCTGCAGATCATCAAATTGCAGAGACAATTCTACCACTACAAAAATATAATTCCAATTCACTAGTATATAAGACATGTTAACTCAATTCTGTGGTGGGGTGCCTTTTCATAGATGAAGGTTGACATGGTTGATAACTACTATCCCCACATTGGTGACCCGGACGTGATGTGAAAATGCCTACCTTGATAGAAACTCCCACTTTGATATGAACACGCCTATCTTGACAGAAACTCCCACTTCGAATTGAACACGCCTACTTTAATGGATGGTCCACATTGAACAGTTGACTTGCAACTTGTGACTGCGGCATTTTTCACCTCTTCACGCTATTGCTACTCAGTCTCAATTGCACACACAACGTCGGCCTGTATACACTCGACTGCTAATAGCAACATAAGAGCAACCATGACGGTGAACAAAACAACAATGAGTCAAGTACTGGTATCCGTTCATCGAATTCTATCAGATATAATTCTGGTGGGGGAGTACTATAGTGTATCTACCACAACAAAAATACAATTCTAATTCACTAGTATATAGGACTTGTTTACTCGATTCTATGATGGGGTACCTTTTCATAGATGACGGTTGACAATGCCGATAGCACTCGCCCCACCGCCTAATTTTCGTTGTGGGAAGAGATTCATTGGAGGCAAACTTGACTGTGAAAGTATAAACATTTTGAAAATTACATCTTGTACAATTCTTTTTTTAGAATTTCCATCCAGTTTTGTAAGTATTTGATTGAACAATTGCCGTCCATCAGAATAAAATTGTCAGTAAGTTCAGAATGGAGGGCGAAACTCAAAGCCTCTCTGATGGCAAGATCTGAGCGAACATTCGAACAGTTGTCTGTGTTGCGAAACCTGCAATGAAAATTCAAACCAACCTCTAATTTAGCGTAGACACAGTTGCCAAACCTACCGGAGTGCAATTTACTACTATCAGTGAAAATTACTAGGGCCTGAGATGGGATGTATGGTTCAGATTTAAGGTTTTTTTGGTACAATGAATCATCTTTAATTGCTAAATATTAAGTATCACTATAGTGAAAGTAAATTGAAAACTAGCATATATATCTGTTTCATTCGCCTACCAAGTCTCCTTATTTACTAATTCTAGACTCAACCCGAGCGAAAATTAAATTTAATCTGATCCGACAAAAAAATTGAAGGTATATCAGTTGAACGAATGCCTAGAAAAGCCTTTTTTACCTCTGAACTATACAGATTAATAACAGAAGGGCAGAGCGTGTGGAGACTGGTAACCTCAAAAATGTGACAGTGCTGCCGAGGGTTCAAGACTAGAAAGAGGCCACAACTTTGAAAAACGTAAAATAATTGCAGAGGAACATGGAGGGAAATCGCTAGCGGAATTAAAAGGTCACCATCAGTTAAATCTTTTCGTCAGATGTTTTACAGGGAGGGATGAAAGTTTCTTGGTGAAACCTTGTACCCCTCTAATCTTCATCGTAATCGCCAAGGATATAGAAGAAAAGATCAAATCAGTAGAAAGACTCTTGGAAGTGAGAACAAATGGAGAAGATAGGACAATTTAGAACCTTGTCAAGACATCTAAAATATACTTTTTGAAAATTTTCTTTTACAGTCTAATATTGTGAATATTTTTAATGCGATACAAAAAGCAAGCTGTATATGTGTTTAACATTAATCATATATGATTGCTCAACGTTAAACCCCTATTTAGGTTAAACCTCATAATTCCTAAAAATATTCTTAAGTATATGGATTTAAGTGATCTTATAATATTGTATTTAATACGAATAGTTCTAAGCCAGTGATGTAATTAAAAGACTATTTCGTGTGTGTGTCATATTTACAACCTAAGAACATTTTAGCTGAGTATAAGATTGATCCAGTTAGACATATCTAGTTGAGTTAGATTCTAGTGCAAAATTTACTTGAGATAAAATTTGAAAAATATCTACGCTAAAAAAGGTGGTAGCTTAAAGAGTAAGATATACAGTTTCAGAAATTTAATGTTGAAAACTATAGTAAAAATTTCAACTTTATTCCATAAATTCTCTATTTTTAAGGAAATAGAAAATACAAAGTAAATAAATCAATCGCATGCTGAATTTTTTCTCAGCAAATAAATTTAATATATCAAATAAATTTAATAATTGAGTTCAAGGCTGGTATGCCGTATCCTGTGAACTGCAGCTCATTCAGCCCGGTTACTTTCTGTCGAAAAGCTACACAATTTAAAATCTATTTTTTAGACAGAATTTTAAAAGTAAGCTGCAACAAAATAAGTATACCCGATGAAAATATTAAGGTTTTAAGTATTGAACAAATGAGGGTATATTAGATAACTGCATGGATGATATTGGAGTACAGTAAAACCTATTTTTGTGCGGTGGATAGGGACCGCATAAAAGAAATCGTACAAAAAAAATATTCGAAAATTTTATAAATTCTTACATATAATAACTTTGTACGATATACAACCTAAAACTTTTTTTAGCGGTGGATAGAGACCGCATAAAAAAAGTCGGACTCAGAAAATACATCAATGATTCATGAAATTGATGTGAGAATGCTTACAATTAAATTAAATAATTAAATTAGACCTAAAGAAATTGTAAAAATATTTAATTCTTCATTGTACATATACATGGAGAAGTTTTCAAATTATACATTAAATAGTTTGCTGCTACTCGTCGTAATCCAAAACGCGCATCTTCTTGGAATGAATAGGTTGAAAATCGCTTTCGTCGCTTGAAGATAGGATTTCAATTGAGTTGTTTTTTGGTACCATAAAGTCAGCGATCAGTTTTAGTGACGACGGTCGACTGGTCAATTGCTTGTAAACGTCACGATAGTGAGACATGCATGATCTCAGCTCTTTAGGAATTTTAAGCGTCTTACCGCATTGGTCATTCCGCGTTTCCAATTTTTTCGAAATCTGGATCTCTGCATAAATTTTATCTCTTGTAATAGAATCATAAAAACTACATATAAATAGAAACAAAAGTAATTAATTTATTTACCTTTAATCTCACTACAAAATGAATACTTAATCACATAAATCGTGTATGAAACTCTGAATACGAAGCGTATAGTATTTGAGGTACGTGCAGACGAGAATTTACAAAATAAAAATAACGGTTTAATTGGGTATACTATAGCCTACGTCACAGGTTGTGTTATTCCTACTAAATTTAACCCATGTACGGCATTTTCTGCGAGCCTAACTTCAAAGCCACAAATAAACAAACGAAATGTTTGATCGTTTAAATAGCTGCTCGCCAGATTTTATTGCATTATAAAGAAAAGTAATTGATATTCGATTTTTGATTAATAATTGATTTATGTGGATAGTGGCATAGAATCTAGCATTGCGTCATGGTAAATGTTATTCCTACTAAGTAGAAGTAGTTGTGTTTTTTTAAATATTATACCAAATTTTAAAATACTAAGTACACAGCAGACGATTTTTTACTGATTTACTTCAACTTGTTTAGCGCAGAATAAATTATAAACAGAACAGAAAATGGAGTTGATAATAAATGAACTAATGAAATTAAATAAACAGAACATCGTTGTCAAGGAGACCACGTAATCAGAGTTCGTTCACAACATGTATAAGCACATTGATAGGAAACATTAAACTGATGCTAACGCCTCTAAGATTCATATACCGCATAAAAATAAATCGCACAAAAAAAAGTCGCAGAGAAATAAAATCGCATAAAAAAGGACGGCACGAAAACAGGTTTCACTGTATACAATCTTTTCGCAGCAACTCGATTCTAAAAACTCATCAAATA